ATGCAGAGTGCAAGATTTGGTTGTTCGGCGTGCATGCTGCTAAGTGTGAGATTCAAGAGTTGTGCTGTGGGGTTGCATTATTTATTCTTATTTGTCTACATATTTTTTCTTCATTACAAATCTTGTTTGGTTTTATTTTGTATCATTGCATGTAAAAGATCATTTATTTTGTTATGCATATATGCAAATTGTGAAACTGCAATCTTATTTGCAGTCGATAGCATTTTATAGGCTAATTATTTGTACAACAATATTGAACTTAACCTGATTTGTATCTTTATTATTTAATTCATAAGCGATTTATTAAAACAAGTTTATGAGAGTCATTAAAACAAGTTTATGACTGCGACATCCGTTTAATCTTGATCAAGGACACTAATGATCAACGAATTGGAGTGGCATCACCGTTAGATCATTTTAAAATGTCTAATAACCTTCAATTTACAGGTTATAACTGCATCTGTCTGATGTAGACTTGTGAAGATTTATTTTAATGCGGATACCATACTGTAGCATTAACCTAAAATAAATGTGCTCAATTACTATTCATATTCAAGTGTTTGTATGGAAAATTATTAATGCGCTTGCATGACAGGGAGGTGCCCGCGTGATCACTTGAATTTTTTCCTGATAATGAAATTACCTCACACCTCACCTGGTACCTCACATACATGAGAAATATATATACAGAAAACTTAAAATGTCTACCTTTACACTAACCAATTCAAATCAAAAGCAAATACTCCCTGATTATATAATCTGTATGAAGATTGCATTTCCCTCTAAAGGCGCATCCTCCTGTGGAGATGAGATTCAGCACCGTCAACTTCATCTTGCAGCCGACAAGAAAACATTAGTTTATTAATAAATAATTTAAATGTCTCATTTTTCATAATTATTAGGCTACTTCTGCCTATGCTTTGTGGCTAAATTAAAACAGAGCAAAACTGAAAATAGTACAAAGCAGCATATAAATTAAGAACAAAAGTTTTTGTCTCTCTGGCAGACGTGCGTCTCTTTCGGCCAGTTTCTCTTTCTCTCTTGCAGAGGCGCCGCGTCTCTCCTGAGAAAAAAGAAAAGAAAAAAAAAACAAGCAAGACTGCATATTATATTATAGCCTATATAATACTCTGTATGCCGTTGCAAAAATTGCAAAAATCAAACGCATTTTGGTTTTTATTAATTAGGCATTAATTAAAAAGGATAAATTAGGCATTTATCCTAAAACAGACACTTTGCCTAAACCTGCTCTGCAAGTTTGAAAAGCTGCACTCTCCACATGAACGAGCAAGCGATTCACACCTTTATTTCAACCCCCACACTACCACTGTACTATGGATTAACTTGATAAACCAACTTCCCTTTTCCATTGCGTGTTTGCGCACGCAAGACAGACGTGCTCTTCATTCATCTCACTTCGCAATAATAAAAATAACAGTGGCATCATGCAGATAATTCTTGTGTGTTTATTATAGTGCAACGAAGCCGTGTTCAAATGCTGATCTTATATAGGCCTAATATATATATATATATATATATATATATACATTTTCATATAAATTGGACTGCCAATGATAATAGCACCATTTACTCGTGACTTGAGTCGTTTCCTATGAACCAAAGCGCGTTCATACATTATTAACGTCTTACTGTCATTATTAGCCCTTCATGGGTTCAGTCTTACATGTATTCTGTAGCTTATTGTGAATATAAACCATCAGTTTCGGGCACGGCAAAGCTAAACTGCACCTGCTTTTAGAGCTTTGCATTTCAGCCCAAGTTCGACGTGTCCCTGTTCACGGAGACCGAGACGGCAATCCAAGCGCATCCTGTTTGTTTTCTCTATTTTAAAAAAGCACAACGTTTTGTTGATATTGTGAGTGCACACAAAAATAAGGGTAGACCATTTACAGTTCCAAATTAAGTATTAGTCTTATCTGTATGAGCAAAAATGACGGCTTACTTCAAGTTGTTTCCACTGTTATGAAGAACAAAATGCAAGTGATCGGGCTGGCGCCTCCATGCATTAAGCGCGCTTCAGCTTCCACTCTCTGCACAAACGCTTAGATACGCCTAACGGCGCACTTTTATCTAGGTTAAATGTTTAAACTAACATTGTAACATGCTTTAAGTGTTTTATATCTATAGATTTTATTTTAAGCAAGTTGTGATGATTTGAGAAGGCTAAATTTGATCAACTCAGCTGTCTGCCGCTAACTGCTTGGTCATCACTTAAAAAAAAAAACTTGAATTTAACAAACAAAGAATATTCCAAACATTTTTCTAAATTAATAAATAATGCAACAATAAGAAATATAACTTTGCAATTAAAAACAAACTGAACTATTTTAATGGCTGCAACAGCAGCTGTGTAATTTTGAAGCGAGAAAGAGAAAAAAGACACGGGCTCCAGTTGGACTCGGGCCGAGGATACTGGTAAGCTGTCGGCCAAGGGCTGGCTATAGGGCCTAGGTTTGAGGCCCGTGCAGGGCTCTACCTGATTTCTGCATTTGGAAATTAATGTTGTGAATCAGGGGTTTTTTTCTAATTAAATGACAAAATTTTTAAGTTGTATTGTTGTATTAAGTTGTAAAAAATGGTTTAATTATTATTTAAAAGCGTTTTAATACAAAGGAACGATAAAAAGTGATACATTTCTTAATTCATGGACATAATTTTCGGCATGTCATGGGCTCTGTATCCGGGAATAAATGTGTTAAAAAAAGGCCAGATAACGAATATGTATGACCTGCTGAAATACACCAGCGAATTATTAAATGTAAGTTTCAAGCCTTTCATTTGTGACATTAATGTGACTATAGTGCGAAAATATGTGTTAGAACTAGGCCTATAACACTCAACAATAAGCCACCTTTTCAATCGTTTTATTTTTTTAAGGCATAATTCACACCTCCTTAAATGTAATCTAAACATAAAGTTAATATCCTACTTTTAGTAGGATTTCTAGGCGTTTTTCATGTCACAGTTTTAGGCTATTAATCTTGATTTCTCACAACTTATTTTGTTCAAGGTTTTTATTTATTTATTTATTTATTTTTATGGTGTGAGTCAGAGTAAATTGCGACGCGAATAGAGTCTCATGAATGTGCAGCCTTGTACAGAGGACCAATGGCCAAGGTCAGGATTTTTCGTTCAAAAACTTTAGCCTGTAGATTGAAATGAAAACCCCTTAATACAACATAAGGAAATTGTGTAATTATAATGATTTTAATAATGGCTGTTTAATAACCATAACATGCAGTAAGAGCCTTTGTGTAAATTTAATTCTTTTTTTTATGCATTAGGCTGCAGCCTACGGCGTTTTGAATTTAACCCTCACTGTAAATTTTCTAATGATTTTTAAGGATGTTATAATGTTATATTATAATGTTATTGTTGATTTATTTCATTATTTGATCTCAGTTTACAAAACAAAATATCATAATTTCAGTCAGTTTGCAAACTTTCCCTTTGCGCCACCTGGTGGTAGTTTCGTGAACAACTTTAACACATGACTGACTTGCAGTTAACGCTGTGACCCTGCGGCGGCGGTACACGTGGCGGTAATAGGCATTTTGGTTGTCCACCTACTGTATGTTAATAATAGACATGCTAATAATCAACTAGTTAGTAGTGAGAACTGGTCCCTATACTAAAGCGTTACCAATAAATATATGCTATTATAATAAAACATAAATATATGAAATGCTATTATAATAAAAAAAATGATTGTTGTAATAAAATTATATAATAATTGTCGTCCATGGTAATCATTTTTTATTAAAAATAAATAAATTAAAATAAATATATAAAAAATTTGTGACAAAATCAAGAAGTGTACAAAGTTTTTTTTGTTGTTGTTTACTTGTTTGTGTTTTCGTAGTGGTGGTCTTTTTTGATGAGGTTTTGAAGCTATTTCACTTAGCAACTGTTTTACCACGGCTTCTCAAGCACTAATGTATTCCAGAGGAGGATCTGCACAACTGAATTGGAAAAGCCCGAGGCTATAGTCGAGCAATCCCTGCTCCTCGCTCTCACTAGACGTGCATAGCAACGGCTGATCTGCCCAACAGAGATATGAGGTAATGACAGGCGCATTTGTTGATGTGGGCAGGAGCTATCCACAATGGACCAAGTCCTTCATAACATAATGGCTATAAGATATTTCAGCTTGTTATGCAATCCATCCTCAATCCAACAATTGCAAACAAAAGAAGAGCTCGAGTTGAGAAGGAAAGTCAAGTGCGGTTTGATAACAATCTTGAGGGACGACGCAAGGCGAACCTACTTTCTCTTTGGCTGCCACTCTAGGATGAAAGAGACAGCATCTGTCTCCAAATATACACTGGCGGTCGTGATTCCCAGAGCAGAACAAATAATGGTTTCTAGGTAAAAAAGACGCTCTTTACTGTGGGAATTATCTGCCATTCTGAAATAATTTCCTCCACTGGAATAATTCTCCACTATCCACCGCCACAGATAAACCCATCACACATGAAACGTAGAGGGAGAAAAGACGAAGAGAGTGTTTATCAGATACAGAGAACTGTGGTGGGATTAGTTTCCCTGGGATGAATACAGCATCTCATCTTCCATCTCTCCTCCCTTCCAACCTCAGCTGTCCACCCGCACACACACTCCCACACACAAACCTACACATAAGAAAACACATCTCCAATCTCCAGCTGCAAACGTGCGAATCATTTTCCCCTACTTGGATAAGCAGATCTCAGCTAAGCGTGGCAGTAGATGATGGGTTTCTCACAGGAACCATCCAACCAGTAAACTACCACCTTCCCCGTCTGGCCAGAAAGAGGAAGGAAATGGTGCCAAAAGCAGCGTTGGCGTGAAAACAAACGCCACGCTGTAGGGGCGGGCATTTATGATGGCACGCTATACTCTGACCCAGTATAGGTCTCTCTCAGAATCGCAACCAATACGAAACAAACCAGCAACAGTCTAACACCTGCAACTTCAGAGAGGGAAATATGAGTGCCTACCTGTGTGTAGTGTGCTGTTATCTCCTGCTTCAGCTGGGAGGAAGTGAAGTACAGATCATATGCAAGAGAGAGAGGGAGTCACAGAGAGATGGAGAGGAGGAGTCTTGTCTGGTAGAGGTGGAGAGAGTGGGAGAGAGAGAACTGCTGTTGTCGCTATTCTCTGCTGAGCCTACAGGGAGTAGTGTGCATGGTAATGGTGCTATCCCTGTTAAAAACCAGATCGTGCATGCATCCAGTCCTGAATTAGAGAGAGGGAGGGAGAGAGAAAGGGACTCTTGGCTGTTTAACCATGCACCGTCACGAGGCACTTCCTTCGGAATCCCTCCAGTGAGAGTGGCACAGCATCACTAAGTCCTTGGCTGCGATTGGCTACCGTGGATGATGATGCAGTCAGCAGGCGATGGTTCTGGCAGCAGTCAACTGAGATGACCCTCTCAGCTAGTATTAGCATCCTCACACATCCTAAGCAAAGGGTGGAGGCAGGGCAAGGACATTTACGAAACTTTCCTGGGAGTGTGTTCATGCACTTCAGGAGGTTGGAAGCTGGATGGTGTACGTGGCAAGTCCCGGCATGGTGCCTTGTATACGTTTGTGCATGCATGAAGACAAAGAAGTCTCAGAAGAACGTCTAGGTGTAGAGGTTGTGATTTCCCCAGAGAGAGCTCCATCAATAGCAAGGGTGGCTCACTGTCAGGGAAGGGAAGGTGCTAATTAATGGGATGAATTCTGGGTATCGTAACCTCCCATCTTGAAGGAGGATGCATGTAGAGTGGCTATTATTCGGGCCGATGTTCATTAATTTCGAAATGGCCTGGATTTGGACTGCGGATATAGCTAAGAACGGTTCCCCACGGGTCGCCTGATGTCTCTTATGTGGACCCCACTGTTGCTGTGCTCAGAGCTCGACAATTTCACAGTGAAATGCCTCCACTTCAAAAGGCCAGCTTGTTGCATAAGAACAAAGATATAAAAAGTAAGAAGGGTAAATGACTCATCTCTTTTGTTGAAAATTAAATGTCAGACTGTTTATGCTTGCAAGTGGTGGTTGTGAAATGCAAAATCTTAAAATGCTGCAATTAAAATATAACTGTAATAAAGTCTTACAAACTATTAAAGAAGTTTTAAAAAGAAAGAAAGAAGGTGAATTTAGGGCTAGAATGTATGGTATCTTTGTTTGAAAATTAAATTACTGTTCGATTTGATGAGGTGTTTAATGTAATAATTAATTATACCTTAATTATAAAAAAGGAAAACAGAGCATGACATTCCATTTTAGAAGACACTCTTTTTAAAAAAATGCAGACTTAACTACTACAATAAAAATGAAAGTACTGCATTGATTTAGGGGTGTATTTGATATTTTTACAGCATCCATTAATGTGCACAAATCTGTGGTTAAGTGCCATCGATTCAATGTCGACTCATAACAGCCTCATGGACAGTTCTTCTAAACAATGTTCAGTCTTCAGTCAAACAACTGGTCATGAATTTTCACGTTTTGTTATGTTGCTGCCTTATGTTAAACTGCTTTAAATTACTTTTTATCAATCTACACTTCATACACCATAATGGTAAAGCAAAAAACAAAGTTTTTTTTTTTTTTAACATCTTTGCAAATTTATTAAAAATAAAAAAACTTAAATGATTACATTGCAAGTATTCATACCTTTATATGGGACAGTTTAAATTTAGCTCAGGAGCATTCATATTGCTTGTAGATGTTACTTCCCTTTGAGTGAAGTTTTCCTGTGGCAAATTCAATTGAATGGGTTTGTTATGTTGCTGCCTTATGTTAAACTGCTTTAAATTACTTTTTATCAATCTACACTTCATACACCATAATGGTAAAGCAAAAAACAAAGTTTTTTTTTTTTTTAACATCTTTGCAAATTTATTAAAAATAAAAAAACTTAAATGATTACATTGCAAGTATTCATACCTTTATATGGGACAGTTTAAATTTAGCTCAGGAGCATTCATATTGCTTGTAGATGTTACTTCCCTTTGAGTGAAGTTTTTTTTTTTTTTATCAATTTACGAGGTTGTGACAATTCTGTTTTTGCTTTGTCGATATGGTGCATGGAGTGTAGATTGATATGGGAAAAAAAGTAATTTAAAGCAGTTTTACATAAGGCAGGAACATAACATGAAAAAAATGAAGGGGTATGAATACTTTCGCAAGGCACTGTACATATGTAATAGACTCATACAACTTTTGAGTAGTCTCCAGCTGAATGTTGTCTATCTGGCAGTTGCTTTAGAGATGTTGAAGAAGGGAATCTGCTTCTCACTTATCTCTCCAAAACTGCCCACAGTGGTTTGATAATGCTCAAGTCAGGTGACTTGTCTGGCCAGGGCAGAGGTCTGTGGTTTTTTTTTTTTTTTGTGGAACACAATTCTTTTTAAGTGCTCAACAGTCCCTATCATCTGCTTTCAGTTTTCACCCACTATCTTTCTTCACTAAAGTCTCGCCATGCTTTGTGTATGCAGTCATAATCGTGAAGAGTGTTGTTCTTTAAACACCAAACAATTGAGTTACAAATATAGTTACAAATGCTCCTGCTAAACGGACATCCATGATTTGTCCTACACAATTTATATTAACCTCTATAATAATAGGTGATCACATTATTTTATCCCACTCCTCCATGGCATGTGTATGTATGATTTGAGTAAAGTTTGGGCACAAGTTTGGGCACAAATATCTGCACTCTCGGTTAGTGAATGAGATCCACTGTGGGAGGAAAAAGGATCTAATAAAGAGAAGAGCACACATCTCCAACACAGACAAACTAACTGTCAAACTAACTTCCAGGATTGTAGAAAGTTTTATGCAAGTAATTCCACGAGCGAGACTTTAAGTTTATCCATATAACCAGGCTAACACCTCCGTAATGTGTCAAATCAGTCATTCGCCAACGAGAATATAATGATACGCTTCTCCCTGTCTGCATAAGAGTGAGTCATGCGGGGAGGCCCCTCCTCACCCCCGAGGCCCACGTGCATCTCTCATTCGGTGGTTTAGAGATCACTGGCGTTCCTCAGCAGAGGCTTGGCCACATGCCTGTCAGTGCCTGATGGATGGCATGACACCCAGCCGCTACCCTGTCATCTTTGCCACTGAATGGGTAAGAGAGAGAGACAAGAGAGTGGGATGGAAGAATCTGCATTTTAAAGGAATAATTCACCTAAAAATGAAGACTCTGTCATCATTTACTCACCTTGTTGTCATTTCAAATTTAAATTATGTTCTTTCTTACTTGGAAACAAAACAAATTTGGGATAATATGTTGACAATATTTTCAATATGTGAATAAGGACTCAGGCTGTCAAGCTCCAAAATGACAGAAAAAAGCATCATTTAATTTTTTTGGCTAACTATTCCTTTAAGGGAAAGAGATAAATAGGAAAAAATAATGAGAAAGAGCGAGTGAGGCAATCCAGAGCGAGAAGGAGAGACCCTTGTACTGTGACTTCAATGTGGCTGATTCGTTCTGCGGGCTAAGTTAGATTGCAGAGAGCGCGTGGGTGTCCATCAGTTTGCCTGCCTGTCAGAGCCTGGTGACAAGGCCAGGGCTGGCTGAACAACACGAGGAAAGAAAAGACGAGCAAAAGAGAAACACTTTTATGAATCTTCATGGAAATGAATCTTTGGGGGAGGGTCTGGACTATTTCCCCCATCCGGCTTCCCTGTCACAGTGTAACCCTCATGGTTAACATGCAGCTGATCACAAAGTCCAGCCAATCAAAACCAAGAGGCAAAAGAACCATGTTCGTGCATCTTGTATGAACCAGCAGCCTGATTTTCTCACATGAAACCCAACAATTGTCAATTCACCACATCTGCAATCACACATGCAATAGATTTCAGACTCTTTAGCTGTGTTCACTCGTTCACTCATTCACTAATCCCTATATAGTTCATGGCAGTTGAGTGCACTATATCAGAAAGGAGTGAACGAAATAAGTGAACAGATTTGGACGGTGACGTATACACTGCACGTGAGACTTGGAGCTGTTGCAAAAACATCATCACATATGTACTTTTATATTACATGTACCTTATTTTAGAAAATAATATTAATAGCAATAACACTAAAAA